TTGTAGTTGCTTTTCTGACAAATAGCCTGTCTTGGCTCAGCTTCAGACTTTACTACAATCTCTCAAACCAGGAGCAGCTGGCTTTGGCATGCCCTGTATCTCTCACTAAGTGGTCCCAGGCCCGGTACTAGCAGCAGCCAGCCATGGTTTACAGCTTGACCTCTCCTGGGCACCTCCAAGCCCAGCCCAAGTAGTAGCCATCTGCAGATTGCTTTGTAGCTCATGCCAGGAGGCCTCAGGGAGAACACAGATGGTGGCTGATCTTGGTGCTCCCTTTCCAGGAGGCTTCAGAAATAACAGTGGACAGCTTCAGACCACGTCAAAGCACCGCCCAACCATCTCCATAAGCGACATACTCACAGTAGTTACCAGAGCCCCGCTGAAGTAAGTCCTGCTCTGTGGATTGTGCGCCAGCACAGCTAATCCTCCATGGTGGCCCCAGCCAGTCCTCATAGCTGACTGGCCTGGGAATGAATGCCACCCATTGATGTACCTAAGCAATCAAGACTCAAGTACAACAGTAGGGTGTACACAGCCTACATAGGGGTGGGTGGAGAGTGCACCTGGAGTGCCCAGCTCAGGTGAATGAGGAGGCTGTGCCATCTACTACATTAGGCCACTCTACCAAGCCTGGGAAACATAACAGCTCTACCTAATACATAGGAACAAACACAAGGAAGCAGCCAAAATGAGGAGACAAAGAAACATGTCCCAAATGAAAGAACAGAACAAAACTCCAGAAGAACTAAATGAAATGGACACAAGCTACCTATTAGATGCAAAGTTCAAAGCACTGGTTATAGGGATGCTCAATGAACTTAAGAGAAGAGTAGATAAAATTAGTGAGAACTTCAACAGCATAAAATAAGACATGGAAGCCATAAAAAAAAGAACCAGTAATAAAGGATACACTAACTGAAATGAAGAAGAATGTACAGGGAATCAACAGTAGAATAGATGAAGCTGAGAATCTAATCAGCAACTTGGAATATTAGGAGGCAAAACACCCAATCAAACCAACTTGGAAAAAAAAAAGAATCCAAAAAAATGAGGATAGTGTAAGGAGCTTCTGGGAAAACTTCAGGTGTACCAACACTGGCATTCATGGGGGTGCCCAAAGGAGAAGAGAGAGAGCAAGAAATTGAAAACCTATTTGATAAAATAATGACAAAATCTTCTCTAACCTGGTGAAGCAAACAGACACTATAAGTCCAGGAAGTGCAGAGTCCCAAACAATATAAACCAAAAGAGGCCCACACCAATACATATCATAATTAAAATGCCAAACATAAAAGACAGAGAGGGAATCTTGAAAGCAGCAAGAGGAAAGCAGTTAGTTACCTACAAGGGAGTTCCCATAGGACTGTCTGCTGCTTCTCAACAAAACTTTGCAGACCACAAGGGATCGGCAAGAAATATTCAAAGTGATGGAAAGCAAGGACCTGCAACTAAGATCATTCTACCCAGCAAAGCTATCATTTAAAAATTGAAGAAAAGATAAAGAACTTCCAGAGAAGAAAAAGCTAAAGGAGTTCATCCCCACCAAACCAGCATTACATGAAATGTTCATAGGTCTTCTTTCAGAAGAAGAAGAAATGACAAAACAAAAAAAAAAGATAAAAGTATGAACAATAAAATGGCAATATAAACATATCTATCAACAGTTGACTCTAAAAAACAGAATAAATGAACAGGCAGTTTCATTTATACAGAGAACATTTGGATAGTTGCCAGATGGGAGGGGGCTGGAAGATAGGTGATAAAGGTGAAGGGATTAAGAAGTATAAATTAGTTACAGAACAGTCAAGGGGATATAAAGTACAGCATAGGGAATATAGTCAATCATATTGTAATAACTATGTATGGTGTCAGATGGGTATGGGCTTTATCAAGATGATCACTTAGTAAGTTATATGATACCTGGGGTATACACCTGAAACTAATACAATATTGTATGTCAACTGTAATTGAAAAATAAAATATAAAAAAAGAAAAAAATGAAAAGAAAAGCCACAGACCAAGAAAATATTTGCAAGTCATAAATCTTATAAAGGACTTGTATTCAGAATATATAAAGAACTTTTACAACTTCATAAAACAAATACCCCAATAAATATACAAATGGACCACATATTGAGTAGGCATGTTACTAAAGAAGATATATGAATGCTAATGAACATATAAAAAGATTAGAGAACTATAAATTAAAACCACTAAAAGTATCAGTATATACCAACTAGAATGAATATTTTTCAAAAAGATTGTTTGATACCAAGAGTGGACAACAATGGGCAGAAATTGGAAATCTCATACATTGCTAGTGGATATGTTAAAAAGTTATAGTCATTTTGAAAAGGATTCTGTAAATTTCTTAACAATTTAAAATATATTTGTCATATAACCTAGAGTACCACTTCTGGGTATCTATATTACCTAGAAAAATTAGCAAAATTTGCTGTAGTATACACTTACAATTGCTGAATTTTATGGTATACAACTTTTATAACAATGGTGTATGTTAAAAAATAAAATACATTCTAATAACCAAGATTTTAGTGGAAGACAGATCTATGTATAATATTATCCCATATATATTTAATATACTACATGTATTCAAGTATGTGCTAGTTAGGAGTGCAAAATTTCTGTATGTATACGAAAAACATGTTAGCCTCTGAGAAAGAACTGAAAGTCTTGTACAGGAAAGAATTACTTTCAATATATACCTTCTGACACACTTGTTCAAAAATACTCTATTAAAATAATATATTAAATCATGTATATTATTACTTTTTAAATAAAAACATCTTAGTAAATGATTAAACACAAACAAACAAATAAACAACCATGATCATGTTATCAGGACTCAGGCCAATGAACCTGCTCTTGAAGATCTACACTTACCTGAGTGAGACTATAAGCATTTATGAGTAGCTGTACTAATATAATCAAAGTGAATTTCATCTCAAAATCATGGTGTTAATTCCTATTGGTTTCAGAGAGATGAGTGCAAATTGTGGGAATTTTGGGCAACAAGAGATTTTTTGACTAGAAGTACTTTAAGCATCCTAGTGCACTACATTCTGCAATTCTGCACTAGCCACAAAATAAAACACAATTCCTCACCTCCAAACACAAACAAAATGCTAACAAAATTGAATATTTGAGGATTAAGTGAGGGGGAGAATGAGAAAAAACAAGCAAAAATAGGGTAGTCTAGCTGACAGCAGGCACATAATAAATGTTTTCAGAAAAGGTACCAATAGCAAAAATATAAATACATATTATATAATAATATGTAATCAATACATATAAACAAACAATTTAAAAATACTTTTTCTGCTCTCCATGCCTTTAAAAAAGTCTTTATATACTTGCTCAAACTTATTTCTATTAATCATATAGTGTTTACTGAAAAGTGATTTTCAGTTATACCTTTTAATTTCAAGAACCTCTTACACAGATTTGATTTTCAATTGACTGCACATTATGAAGATATGGCTTATTTAATTAAGAATATTTGTTTTAATCTTAAATAAGCAATGAGAGAAATTAAAATACACTGTCAATATTTAATTATCAAGTTCAAGAGCTATTTTGTAACAATGTCTTAAGAAGGTAAAATTCAAGATTTATGATTGTTTTTGCTATCATATTATTTTCCTTTTTTTTAATATAGAAACATAATACTTTGTATGGTGTTGCTCACAAATGCTTAGTATAGTGTGTCCCTTTTCCCATCAGGAGGCAACAGTGTGAGTACTTCTTTGGAGGGGGAACACCTGCAGAGAGGGCCAAATAAATCATAAAGGGTGCTTCTTTCAGCTTGTGTGACTTCATTTGCATTTCAAGCTGACAGAGCTTTCATGCTGTTTTTACTGTTTTGAATAATAGGCAATCACATATGTTTGCTACATGTGCGTTCTTCACGCGTGAGTTCCTCATAGTACTGCTCCTTCTGACCCATCCCTGCTGTAGCTTTGGTGCTAATTTAGACTCAACAGAAATTTAATGAGCACCTATTGTGGGACATCTGACACTAAAAACACGACCATCAGGTTAGGTAGCACTATCCCAATATAACAGATGAGACATCTGGTTAAGTGGAAAACCAAGTCTTAGCCTGAGCACTTTCATTTATACTGTTCTCAATTATCATCTCTGTCTATGGCTCTCTTTTCCTTTCTGTCCCTCATTTCATAGATAATCAAGAGCACATAGTAGAGACATGTTTAGTCCCATCCCTTCCCCTCAGAGAAGGTAGAAGGGGAAAAACACCCAGAGTCCAGAACTCTTATCACACTCCTCATTGCTCCCATTCCCACACATCACCCAGAATGTGCAGCCCAGAACTTTAGCCCTAACTCTGTTCCATAGCTCTCTTCTCAGGTCTTGGAGGGCACTATGTGTAATAATTATTGCTGGAGCAGTCCCTGTAATAGTGGAGGAAGTGTTGTGAGCAACCCTGTTCACAACTCTGGAAGAGTTTTCTACAGTGACATAGCTCCCAATGATCTTTATGGGGATTACTAAGACAATGCTGGGGCTTGGAGGGGCTTGAACCATCTTTCACATGCTTGCCTGGAATCCTGAGCACAAAACAGAGCATTAATTCTGTTGGAAAAATCAGGTTTTTAAAAATTAAGTCAATGGGAAAAAACCAGTTTGAGGTTTCTACAACTGATACATTAACAAACATTTGAACTATAACCCACTCATACTTGGGTATTCAGTGTTTAACCTCCAAGTTCATAACAATATAAATTTGCGAGATTGAAAGCACTATTTTTGTTGGGTTTCATATAAAATAGGGAAAGACATATTCTCAAAATTAAGAAAAACACAGCTTCCTGGATTCATGTTTTTCTCTTATCCATGTACCTTGATTTTTTAAAGTATGATTTCATTCGACTGCAGAGAAACTTCCATTTTTGCAATGTTACTATGAAGGTCCTACTATTTTACCTACACATTTGACTGCTGAGCCAGATTTATCTTACCTCCTCGATGGATAATCAAGGAAGTCTCGCTTCCGATGGGACAGTCCTTCAGTATATCCACCACTTCTGTATGGCTCAGGTTCTGCACATTCTGCTGGTTGACCTCCACGATGAGGTCGCCTTCACACAGGCCAGGGCATCCTTGAATGTCAAGTATTTGTTTCACCCGCTGTCCTGTAGGACTGTCAGCAATAGTGAAGCCAAAGCCCTGGGCACCTTTCACAATGGTTAAGGTCATAAGTTCAGCTTGGGTGGCCCCTGACGAAGCCATAGACACATTGTCGTCGTGGACAGGTGGTGGATATGTGCCATCTAGCTGACCGTCTGCTGGCATTGAGTGCAAAGAATGGGGTGGCCGATCTGTTATATCTGGAGCTGACTGTGAGGTCCGAGAAATGTATTCCAAATATGTTTCATAGTTATGTCTTCCATTTACCATCACTGGAGGTGGTCTCTCCATTATTGCAAGGGGTGGAACCATGCTGTTAGCAGGATCTTCAGGATCAAAGGGCAAAGGGTAGCCACGACATAACACCAGGCTGACACTCTGACCAATAGGAACAGACTGGAAAAGTTTGACCACATCTGCGTGAGTATGTCCAAGGACACAAACTTCATTAATATAGACAATGACATCACCTGCAAGGAAAAAAGAAAGAGATTGACAATGTGAGGTAAGTTCAATTAATGTTGATGCAAGGAAATGGAATTATTTATGAGACTAGTGAAGTGGTGCTGTTTCTCAGTAAGCAGTGAGGAAATCAATTAGAGTAATATTTAAATTTACTATAGGTGATTCAAGGTTACAACAGGTTGGCCAACAAATACACTGATCAAATACTGAAAGAAACTGCTATATGGTTATCTTTGAAGTTCAGAAACAACTTCATATTCAGAAATAAATGGTCAGAAATAAAAGTTTAGAAGAATTTGTACCTTGAAGAAGCCTCATGTTATGTTTCATCTTCATTTCCATCTTCAGTGCATTTCAGTTAATAAAATTTTCAAACCTTTGAGATGTGGTGATCAAAAGTTTTGGATAAAAACTTTGGAGCTCCAGTACATGGTTTTATTTTTGATATCACTTGTCTGAGTCAATTGCCTTTTTTCTTTCTTTATAGAAGAGGAAAATATTTTGCCCATTTGTGTGTGTGTGTGTGTGTGTGTGTGCGTGCGCGCGTGTGTGTGGCGTGTGTATGTACATATATATATATATATATATATATATATATATATAAAATTTATCAGGATCACTCTGAAGTGGGTAATGTAAATGGCTAGGGATTTTATTCTAAGATATCCTTGCCCATCAAAATTGCAAACTCCAAAAATAGAAAAACAGAGTTGAACTATCAGAGTTAAATAATTTTCTGGCCTTTCTTAGGTGTTTGTTATTATTTCTCTACTAAGTGCACTAAAAAATATAATTCTATGAATAAAACATTCCTGACTAAAATGTCCTCAACAGTATAGACTTGGCTAACACTCACTCTTTCCAAATGCTAGAGAATTGCTTAAAAAACCTAAAGATAAGGAGACGGAAAGATCAAAGAAACATTTTCAGGGTTAGGTCTGATTGTAGAAAACATCACAGACTACGTGATTGATCGCAGGCAACTTCACTCTTTACTTATGTCTATCAGAAGCGGGGCTGGTGTAATGGCTGGGACACTGCACTGGGACTCAAGACTGAATTGCCAGGGACAACCTCTCCTCTGAGTCCTCATGAGACTGGGGAAGCGGGGGAATCTTTGGAACCATCTTCCACTGGTTCTGGTCATCCCAGAGAAGAAACTGATCCAGACAATTTATTTCCCTTCTTGTGCTGCCTCTTCTATTTTTAAAGTCATTTATTTTATACATTAAAAAGTAGAAAGAACAATAAATACCTGTGCATGACCTCCCTACCATCTAGCTTAATGATTAGAACATCGCTCATTTAGTTGAAGAGCCCTGAGTAGCAGCCCTCTCCCGTTTGCATTCCCTTCCTGCCCTTTCCAAAGGTAACCATTGACCTGCATTTGAGGCTTGTTATTCACTTGTACTTTATATTTTTATAACACATCTAGGTACCCATAAATAATACCCCTAAGCAATATTTAATCCCTGAATAAAATATTCTTAAAATGTTTTTGCATATTTTAAATATATATATTAATCTTCTGTAATTTCCCTCAAAATATATTTGTGATATTTATCTGTTTTGATACCTATACCTCAAATTCATTTATTTTCATTGCAATGTAGTATCTATTGGATGACTATGTAACTACTAATATTTATCCATTCTTTTGTTAATAGACACTAGAGCTCTTATGAATTTTTGGTTAAACATAACTCTTTCCATGGCCTTTGTGCACATATGGAGAGTTCTTCTGAGGTATGAATTTTGGCATAGAACTGCTGGGCATAAGCCACATGCACCTTCACCTTTTTTAGATAATGGCCAATGGCTGACAAAATAGGTCAATTCAACTTACACTCCCACTGGTAACATCAGAATTTTAACTTCTTTCTATCTGACACAGCACTTGGCATTCTCAGACTTTAACTTTTGCTAATCTAATGGGTGTGATCATGGTTTTAACTTTCATCTTCCAGATTGCTAGTGAGGGTGAGCAGCTTTTTATAAGTGTTTTGGTCATTTGGGTTTTGTTTGCAGTCCATCTCATTTCCTTTCTTTTTTTTTTTTTTTAACACAGTGTCTATTTTTCTTCCCCCCTCCATTCTTGATCTGGCATTTTCTGTAGGTGTGGAAAGTTGCATGGCGTGGCAGACATTACAGGGATTAGGGAGACAAACAACTTTGGTCTGATTTCCAGCTCCAACATTTACTAGCTGTGTACCTTTCAAAACTAACTTAAATCCTCTGTGACTCAGATTCTTCAGAAGTAATGAGGAACAATAATAACAACAGCAACTTATTGATTTAAGGTAAATAACAAATGAGATCATGTAGGTGAAAGGGGTTGTAAACTATAAACTGTTATGCAAAGGGTGATTGCTATTTCAGTTACTATTATCTGCCCTTTGTTAAATCCTTCTATAAAATCAAGAGAGTCCCACCAAGATCTTCCCATCACAGTCACGGTCAAAGATGAGTGTCAGTTTATGACTGGACAAGTGAAGGGCAGGAAGGTAATAAATGCTATGTTCCTCTAAGGTTCTCCCTAACTTTAATCACTGTTAACAAATGCTCCAACCCCCAAACATGCTTTATCCTTTCCTTTGCTATGCCAGAAATTCATAGGGAAAAAAGAATTAAGGATAATGCTCAAAGCTCTCAAGTTACCTTGCGAGGTCTAAAGAGTAGTTATTTGAATTATAGTGATTAATGTTATCTATTTTTGAGTTTTAATGTGATCTTGCTATTTAGAAACAGAATGAGAACTACTTATGGTTCTTAGTAAGACTGCCTTTTATAATTTATGGATATTTTCCACTTGGAGCAATTTTTCAAGTCATCAAGCAAACGAATGATGAAGGACCCTACAACAGTATCTTGTGGAGCTACGCAGATTTCTGACTGTAAAAGATGAGGGGCCAGTTATCACTGTTAAAACTGTCTAACAACTTGACAGTATTCAACTGCTCACTTTGAAAAAATAGAGAGATGCACCCTGGCTGGTGTGGCTCAGTTGGTCAGAGCATTGGCTCATAACCCAAAGGTTTCAGGTTCAGATCCCGGTCAGGGTGCATGCCTAGGGTTTGGGTTCGTTCCTGGGTCTGGTTGCATGCAGAAGGCAGCCAATCAATGCTTCTCTCATGCATCGGTGTTTCTCTTCCTTTCTCTCTCCTTCCCCCTCTGTCCAAAAACAATGAAAAAAGTGTCCTCCAAGGAGGATAAATTATGTATCTATCTATCTATATCTATATCTATATCTATCTATATCTAATCTATCTATATCTGCCTAGACATGCATCATGCCAAAATTGTTGTAAGCGGAGATGTAAGCAAACATTTGCTTGTTCAGATAGAACTGACTGGAGAGGATATTTATAGACTGTGCTGTATGAATGTCATTTACATGTTGTGAAATAAGAATATGAGCCACCTGGTGTATGTCATTTGATGGCGCCATGCCAAGTCCTGGGACAGACTGGGCCTAAGAGCACAAAAAGAAACCTCATTAGGAAAATTGGCCCTAGCCCCAACCCTGCTGGCCTACTTAAGAGGAAGAAGTGGAAAAGAGTCATTTGATCTTTCTATCTCTCAATTTATTCTTTTATAAAATGGGAATTAAAATATCTCTGCTATTTTCTCTTTCACAGGACTACTGTGAGAATGAGAAGATGCTTGTGAAAACTTGTAATTTTACCAAAGAAGACTCTCCATTAAAATAAGATGATGCATTTCTTTCGAAAGCCAAGCACGCATTTTCATGGCCACATTGAAATGTAACCTGCAAGGTTACCCTGTTTCCTGTATGGCCATTTCCTTTAGGCCATTTTGAACCCAGCTGGTTCTAGGGCTGCTCACCTTGAGCCTGTTGGTTAAATTTGGTGTGATTGATGAGCCTGGCCTCTCCACAGCGCTGGTCTCACGACGTCCTGATTCCCAGTTATGGGAAGGAGCAACCGAAGGAGAGAGAAGCTGATAGAGCAGGGGGGTTTAATCTGCTAGACTCTACGGGAAAATGTCCTAAGATAATCTGTTTCTTTCTTAGTCATGAGAATTAGAATTTAATGTTGGATGCTGCTTGGGTACTTCATCATTTTGGATAAAATAGGGCCCTCTTACAGCACTGCTAAAAATGGGCTCATTTTTATACTTCTTTTCTCTGCTCCCACAACTCTGAGTCTCTGTGGCCTGCAGTCTTCCCTTCCGCCTCTCCCTCACCACTTGCCATCCACCTTGCTTAACCACCAACTTGGACCAGACAAGAATAATTTTCTTCACACTTCATTTTCATCTTAGAGTCTCCTCTGTTAAGTTCAAACTACTCGCTCTTTAGACCTACTGTTTGACACTCTTTGCCGAAAGTCTTTCCAACTTATTTTTGTCTTGACCGCCCAGTAAGTTACCATTCTGGTAAAGATGGCATCTTTTACTGCTCACAGTTTACAACTTCCTATTCTGCTATGCCTTCACCAAGTACACTTCTTTACTATGTGTACTTCTTCCCAAGTAGATCATTTCTTTCCTTACCTCTTCAAAGACATCTTCAGTTATTCTTCCTCAGTCTGCTTTCTCATGTGTGTGACTACAGATTTCTCTCAGACTTTATTCCTTTGTGGAAGTTTTCTATCTGTTCCAGGTTTTCTCCACAAAAATACACAGAGTATCATTACTATGTTGAAAAGTCTTTAGGTATGTGGGATAAATTCTCATAGAATAAAGGATAGAGAGATTTAGTCAGGGGAAAACTGGAACAGATTTCATACCTCAATTTACTGCCTTTAGTGTTTCTAACTTCTGTTTGTGCCAAGTCATACAGATTTTTGTTAAGAGAAACAAAATTCTCACTGACAGTTTCCATCTTAGCAATTACTTGTACTCTTCATTGAAAAATTACTATTTTTTAATTTCCTCTCCAGCTAATAAGATTTGATAGACCTTTATATTCTGAAGTTTGTATTAGTTTGTGTTTTCATAATATATATAATTTTATTACAGTAGGCTATTTTATTATAATATT